GCTTACAACTACAGAAACTCCGAAATATAAATGACTTGTAAACTTCCCTAATTTAATTTGTCAACCAATTATCAAACAATTAATTATTTCGTCCGCATTAATATAATAAAACACTGTTGATATTAATTGTTTGATAATTCAGTCGCTTCATTAAGGCTCGATTTTACAATATATAGTTACCTTCATGAATGAATTTCATTGATGAATCTGTTGGTAACCTTTAATCTTTAAGTAACCATATATTGTGAAAACGGGCCTAAGTTAGCTGGACTTGATCGAAGTCGGCGTCGCAACTTTTATATTATTCGTTGCACGAGAAATGATCAGCGCAGCCAAATCGGCTAGTCTGATTACCGACGCTTGAAATAGAAATAATAATTTCATCATTAACATTATTAATTCTGTCGATCATTATGCTTTTGTGAGATGTTTTACGTCTACGATTATCCCCTTATCTATCGTTTTACTTCCACGATGCCCGTTGCTGACACGGTGCTCGAGTTCGAGCGTGAGAGTCGAGAATCGAGGACGAAGGCAATTGAAATAGGGAAAAGTAACGGAGCGAATAACGGGTTGGACATTTAATGCATCTCCTGCCGTGGCCACTCCGAAACTATTTTACGATAGATCGTCTGCACGTCGAGTGGAAAACGGATAATTATACCGAATCAAATGTGGAACGCAAACGGCGAAGATGCGAACGCTCGATTTTAAATGGCGTTTAAAATCGTCGATCGAGATAAATCGATATTATTATATTCGTATCCTCGACAATAAATGTCCTGTCACCTTCCATTTACAGTAGATAGTTTGCATGGCGAACAAAAAGTGGTCTGATAATTATATCGAATTAAGTGAAGATACCAATAAAGATTATTATTATTTTGAATGCTGAATCGAATGTTTATTTTTGATCGTCTGTGTTTAACATTCCTAATCTGACATCATTTCGACGTCAAAATGACGATAAATGATATCAGCTTGCTATCTGAGAATATTAAATGCAGACGATTAAAGATCGATTTATCAGCATTTAAAATAAATAATAGTCTTTATTTTGAAAAATGTAAATAACAAGAGAAGTATGAGTGATACATACATTATAAAATATATTAGAGAAAGTTGCAAAAGATGAGGTATCAGCATAATGCTGCCAATTAAGATCTAAACCTATAATGGTACAATACATTGAAAAAAAGTTTACTAAATCTTAACACATATTTCTTTGAATAGTATTAAGTAAACATTTACTTACAGTGTTATAGTAAATAAATATTTACTATATAAAAAAGACAATTAAATCAAATTAATGATTTTTGTATTAAATAAATATATATGTTTATTTATTATTTAATAAATATTTACTTAAAACTAATCAAACAAATATTTATTAAAATTCACTACGTTTCAATGTAAATATAAAAATAATAGTATACAGACAAAAAAATAAAAAAATCTTCGATCAAGATATTCATTTCGTATCTTCTGCGAGGATAACAATTTCTAAAGCTTTCATTTATTAAGAATAAGAAATTCTCCCGAATGTTCATCTTATGTAAAATTAGTAAAATGGATAATTATTTAATCAATGAACGTAATGCGTCTCGTAATCTTTTTTTTTGTGACGATATGCGTCTTACATGCGCATAGAAATTCACGAGCAAGGAAAAAACTATGGATCGAAAGACACGGTTACGACGACCGTGTTTTTTCACGGAAAGCTTCCGCCGCGTCTTCGTGCTGCGCCACGCAAAAATGTCGTAAAGTTTCGTCACGCTAAAGCGACGTAAGATGATGATGCGTATTGTTTCCAGGCCGTTTATCAGTTTGCATGACGTGGTGAATCTTCTCGGAATGAAACGGAAAACCTGCGACATTTCCAGGATTGACGGCGCGGATTCAAGAAAAAAAGCCGATAAATGGTTTTTCCTTTTTCGTATATAGATAGATAGAGATATTTACTTCCAAGATAACGCTTCCGACTGGAAGCTGCACTGTTAGTGCAAGCCGTTATGTGTTTGTGATAACGAGGTAACATATTTATAAGAACTACCGAGAATAAAACGAGGTGGTTAACAATTACCACGCGAGGAATAAAATGCTCTCTCCCAGTTTATGTTAGAGACTGTCTGGTAAAAGAGGACATTTTATATGCAGTAGAGGTGTGCGAATTATATATTTGTGAGGTCAAATCAAATTAAATCGAATCTTTGATAACATATGTTTGAAAACGAATCAAATCGAATTATTTTATTTAAAATAAATCAAATTCGAAATCTTCCCGGGTTTACATTAAAAGTAATTTGAAAGTAATAAGGTATTTTCAATAACGTTTTAGATTTTTTGAATAAATATAAAAATAAATAATTTTCAATTTACGAGAATCGTGCATAAATGAAGCGATTGATTCGAAATTGAACCACCATGATTCGAAAGTTTGAACTTAATCGAATCTTTCAGATTTGAAAACTAATCGAATCGAATCATAGTGGATTCGATTCAAATTCGAACTATTCTCACACCTTTAGTATGCAAATCTCTAGTTTTAGTAAAATTATACGAAAGAGAAGAACATACATTCATTACTTCTTTCTTTTTTTGTTCTTATCTCTTTCTCTCTTTCAGGAATTGCTAAAACATGGCAGACCAATTAAAACTGGCTGTTTCATAATCAGACTCTTTATTAGAGAGTCTCTATGTATAAGTTTAAATTAAATCGAGATTTCATGCTATTTAAAATTAAGATTTTTAAATCCAGATTTTTGTGGAGAGAGTGCTCCTCAGAGAGGCCTCGACAGTTTTATAGACACATGTTTAAGCTGTCTCAAACAGAACAACAGATCGTGATAACGTCAAAATGATGTTAAAATGAATCCTGTCTGATCTTAAAGAGACTTTTAATAATTATTTTAGAATTATTTTGACGCTTTTTTAATGTCATCATAACTTTTTGTGCTGCTTAGGATTATGTTTCCATTCGTAATCTACTGCAAACGTTAAAAGAAAACAAACGTATTCATTTTTGTAGTGATCAAAGTTTCAGTGTCAAAACTACACGCTCGTAGTAAACTGGACGATGTTTATCGGCGCATAGTATATAATTTATTGTAATTATATGAATTGCTGTGATTGACATATGACAGTGGTCGCCCCAAACGCAAAAATCGCTTCGTCATCTCGAGCCAGGTTTTTGATTGTCAAACGTTGAGAAAAGAAACATATATTCTTGTGATTAAGGTTTCTATTTCTATTTCAAAACAACGCTCAGAATAAATTGAACGATATTTGTCGACGCATATAGATATATTTTATCGTAATTATATGAATGGTTGGTAGCTAACACGTGACAGTATCAGTCACGTCTTAAAACGCGGAAATAGCTTCGTCTTCGAATGATGAGTCGGGTCTTCAGGTCGTATTCATAGTCGGTTCTTATTTTAAAATCGTCTTAAGTAATGTCTTAAATATTAATACTGCTCTGTGATTGGCTTCTGACATCTAAAGATTGTAATCACGACTTAAATATAAAAACCGTCTACAAATGCCAGCCCTCTTATAATTCTTTCTTTCTCTTCATGTAGGAGAGATGTTTGCCCAATTAAGTAGAACAAGTCACGATAAATCAACGTCAAAATGACGTTAAAATCAAGGTTAAAATCAATCGTAAATTACTGAAAAGTGACTTTTAGGCTCGGTCCGATTGACGCTCACAATACTCTTGGAATTATTTCATTGTTGTTTATTGAATCTTTAACGAGGACAAATAATGTTTACGAAAATTGTAGGCGTGAATCGGACCATAGCTTTGGAGTCATTTTAATGTAATAACTATTATTTTGGAGTCATTTTGATGTAATAATTCGATTCTGCATAAATCTCTAAGTAAAACACATCACATATAACATCAAAATAATAATTGAAAAATAACTTTTAGTAATTATTTTGAAACCATTTTGACGTCATTTTGATGTTGTGACGACTTGTGTTCTGTTTGTGTATGAATTCCAAGTAGTTAACAATAACATCAAAATACCGTTAAAATGAATTTTAACTATAAATTGAAAAGCGACTTTTAGTTATCATCTTGGAACAATTTTGGTGTTATTTTGAGATTATACTTAATGACTTGCGTTCTGTTTGTATATGAATTCCAAGTAGAATAATTCATGATAACGTCAAAATAACTTTAAAACGCATCTTAACCAATTAAAAAGTCATTTTGACGTTATGATGACTTGTGTGTGTGGCTTGGTTTGTAACTTTTTAATTAGTGGAACTAATACGGCGAATAAACTAGCTGCGTTCGGTGTATTTGACATGAGAGCTCAGTGATTTTGTTGATTTTATTAATCTCGAGTGTCGCGGACGTCGGGTCGCGCGTCGCGATCTGTCGTCACGCACGAGAAGGGGGGAAGATGAGGATGCGGTAGGAGTCGGCGCGCTTCGGGATACGCGGTTCCACGAAACGGTATATACTGGCGCACGATGACTCGCCGTGGCAAACACGCGCCAAGCCGCCAAGCCGTTTCG